TCTAACCTATGTCAATTGACCTATCTACCCTTTCTTATATAACACGAATTACAATTACATAACAATGTCATCCCCTTCAAAGATCTGGAATTATAAAGCTAGGAAATTACTGTTGAAATTGAAATAGAGACATCCAAGAAGCTTCTTCATCAGGTTTCCCTTTCCACTATACCAGAACCTCAGTAATTATTCGCTCCTTCCTTCTACCCACCCTTTTATTTAAGATTTGCTCGGGTTCTCGAACTATAGGTAGCTCAGGAAAATGAACCGGTGGATGTCTAGGCTTAACTGATGGGTCAGGGCATAATTTAAGGAGGAAGATTCAGTTTGTAGTAGGCAACCTTCCCAATTCTTTCAAGGACTTTGTAAGGCCCAAAATACCTAGGAGCTAACTTTTGGGAGCTTCTTGAGGCTACAGGAATTTGCCTATAGTGTTGTAATTTTAAGAAAACCCACTGACCCATAGAAAATTCTCAGCCCTGTGAGAATCAGATTTCTACTTCATCATGTTTGCAACCCAATATAAAGGATGCTTGAGTATGGCTAACATCTCTTCCTTCGCTGAAACACTTCTATCAACCCAGAACAGAATTATGGGGTAAGTAGGGGGAGTGTACAAGGGGTTTCTAAGCATATGGTAGCTCAAAAGGAGAGGCCTTTGTAGATGAGTGGAAATTGGTGTTATACCACCATTCAGCTTAGGATAACCATCAACTCCACTCCTTAGGTTTCTCCCAAGCCATGCACCTTAAATAAGTGTCCAAACACCGGTTAAGGACTTCTGATTGTCCACCCGTTTGAGGATGATATGAGGAAGATAATTTCTTATCTACTTCCATTACTCTTAAAAATTCCTTCCAAAAATTACTTACAAAAATGGGGTCCCCATCACTAATAATGTCTAATGGAGCTCCATGTAATTTAAACACATGATCCATGAATAATTGAGCCAATATAGATGCTGATTAAGGATGTGAGAAGGGATAAAATGAGCATACTTACTCATTCTATCGATAATGACCCAAATAGCATCCTTCCCATGAGATTTATGGAGCCCATCTATGAAGTCCATTGTAATACTTTTCCAAATCGACAATGGTTATAGTAATCCGAGGGAAGCAGTGATCTCATATTTACACCGGGCACATGTGTCACAATGCTTAATAAAATATGCAATGTCATGGATCATATTCTTCCACCAAAATAGACTTTTAACATGCTAGTATATAGCTTGAATACCAGAATGCCCTCCCTGGGGACTAGTGTGCATCCATTCTAAAATTTTCTATCTTAAGGCTGAGAACCTGTGGCTCTGATGCCACTTGGTAAATTCTTGGAATTAGAGATGTAGGAAAAGGAAGAAAGAGGAAAAGAGTGATAGAGAGAGAAAAAGAAAGAGAGGAACAAGAACAATCCTTGAATTCATTCAATAATCAGTAGTACGATTCTGGGAGTATCCTTTTATAGATGGAAATAACTAACTAACAGGACTAACTAAGGGAAACAAATGTAATCAACAAGTTATTATCTAGCGGCTACTCTAACCTATGTCAATTGATCTATCTACCCTTACTTATATAACATGAATTACAATCATATAACAGCTTCCTTCGGTGTTTTTGCTAATAGTTCTCAGGGGACCATGCAAGCTAAATCTTTGCAGAGTGAGCATGCAAGACATCATAGATGTTGCTTGCGTGCCTACCCTTCACACCACTGTAAGTCATGGTGGATGCAAGAATATTAAAATCTTTTTCTAAACTTTACACCACTGTAAGTTACTTCGCAGATTCATAAACAGAACTTTATTCTTCCACGACAAGTAAGATGATATCCATCATCACGGCATTGGTCTTCTCATTTCTTGACCACTTCTAACAAAGAATGACTGAATTTATAGAGGAGACTCTCTAACTGTTTTTATGTTTTTGGTTACCCAGTATGTGTTTGGAAACTTGTTCGTCTTTGACTAAAGTAATATGAGAGTAAATTTGTCTTGTAAGTTACATAATGTTGTGTCCGGCGATTTTCCAAACATTGCCTCGTTACATTGGTGTGTTAATTCAGCGTCTGAACTAGTTAAATTTTTATTATGGTTAGTTGTGACTTGTGACTGAGCTTCATTAGATTATTGCAAGCATGAAAAATATGTGACCCAGTACAGAGCTGCTTCTATCATAAACTGCAAGGTTGAGAAAAACAAGGTTCTAATTAAAAATAATTCAAGCGAAACAAAGGTCAGGAGAAGGAAAAAAAACACTTAATGGGACCGAGGAACATTCTACTATTATTGAAACAGTCAAGCAAGTATACTGCTCTATTTGCTTGACAAAGGTTGGGGTCAAGATGAAGTTTATCATTTCTTCAATGTTCTCCCCAGTGAATCCTAACTGGTTTGGTGATTCAGTGATGTCTCGCCCGAGCAGTAGTTTTGTTGGTCAGTCATTTTTCTTAGAGTTGAGTGTCGGTCCAAAATCGTTGGTTGCAATCATGCGTCTTTTTTTTTTTTTGTGCTATGACTGGCAACCCTCGAGTGGCATATTTTAGTTTTTATTGCCTAATTAATTAGTATGGATGTTCATGAATTTTTATGTTTACACAAGATGTTGAATCTCATATTTTGTTGACAGAATCTCATATGTTACGTGAAATATGATGAATGAATTGCATTATTTAAAGTTTATGAATTGTATTTGTTATGAATTATATAGTTTATGATATTAATTAATCTTAATGGGCGTGGACTAGCTCTACTTAGTTATTCTGGTCAAAAAAAGCTCTACTTAGTTATCAGTCCGTTTTCCTCCACTAAGCTGAAATGACATCGTTCTTTATCTCAGCGATCAACTCGATTTATTCCTTTCTGCTGTGACCCCGTGTTGCCTTAAAAAGGATGTTTGATGTTATATTGAAAAAATCAAGAAGAAAAACTCACTCAACAATCTAACTTAAAAAGAAAAATGGTTCTCTAGTTCTATTTATAAGAAATGAGAGGAGAATTTTTTTTTTTTTTCTATTTAGGAGAGTGTTTATATAAATGTACGGTTTTAACTTTCATTTGTTTTATTGTTATTGTATTGATTTTGTTTTTATAGGATACAATGTATACTAAAAAAGGAATAAAATTGTAAGGTTTGAAATTATAATACAGAGTTTATGAAGTTTAAGATTTTTTTTTAGTATATGTAAAACAAGTTGAAAGTGAATTATAAATAAGACTAGATGTACATGAGCAAGAATGAAATCCCAAATGTTGTAGAAGGTTTGAGTTTAAAGGAAGGTAAACTCGTAATTGTATGGCAGCCGTAACAAGGGGTGCTTGCAACCACGGGCTGATGAAAATTGGAGCAGCGGTTAAAGAACAATTGCAGGAAGATCTAGTACTTCCATTGCCGGTAACACCGAGAAAGGCAATCTCTGAGCCTACAATGGTTTACATGCCATAGGCCCTCATTGCAGTACACCGAAAGAAACTGAAGCCTCAATCATGTTAAACATCAATCGTTACTGCAAAGCCCAACCTCTAAGCTCTGGATGATGAACTGATAATGGAACCTTAACCGATGATGATGTTGATGATGAAAACCTCTTAAAAGTCTCGATGAAGGCTAATGTCAATGATGAATCTAGATGTGGTTTTACGTTTTAGAGATTAAAGACCTCTTTTTGTTTTTGTACAAGAAAGACCTCTTTTTTTTTGTGAATTTTTTTTGTATATCATCACCCCTTTATTTTAAAGGCAAAATGGCGTCGCAGTGGAATATAACAAGTGAAAGTCTATTTTTGGTCTTTTAATTTTATAGTAGAATTCAATTTAGTCCTTTGGCTTTGTTATTTTTTTAACTTCCTGAACATTGCCACTTTATTTAATTAAAAATGGTTACAATCACTCAAATTAGGTTTCCTATAATGAATAAAATTGAAGGTTGATACGGAAACGTAGTATAGATTTGTTTTTTATGGAATATGTGTGTGTGTGTGTGTGTGTGTGTGAATTCCGTTGTTCCCTTAGACACTCATGCCTGGGGTTTGCCTTGGGCCGTATTTGAAGAAATCTTATTTTAGTGTTAAAGATCAAAGGAGCGGGCCTATCCAAACCATGGGCCCAATGTATGAATAGTTTGAAGATTATATTTATATGTAACTTGGGGAAGATTAGGTGGCAAAAAACGATTGGAAATAGTAAAACTAACTAGAGGCTAGCTGGAGATTACCGGAAACTTCCACTCCACCAAAGTACGGAAAGCGAATGGGACCCTCTCTGACAACCCTGCTTAAATTCCTGCTCGCCCTATTCTGTACAAGACCTTCAGCGCGTCTCATTACATTCGCCGTGCCAACCCCTCACGTACTCACTTATGTTCCATAAAAAACTGCCCAAACCATAATTTTGGGACTCAATTCCTGGTTTGGGTGAGGAATTTGCTAAAGAGGAGACAAATGGACAAATCATGATTTAGGGCCAACACTATAGTTTTTAGCTCAAAATTATAGTTTGAGGAGAAGTAAATCTATTCTACTTCTAGTTTAAATTAGAGAGTATGATTGTGTCTATTGGAGTAGATCCTAATAGTAATATGACTTTAACACCCCTCAATTATTTTTCTATAAACATGTTTAATTTTATATTTTATAAATATATATACACATATTAGTTATTTATTAATTATATTATCTTATATATTATTAATTATGTTGGTAAAAAATATATTATTAACAATTTTATTCCGTCAAATTAAAATATATTATAAAATCTATTTTTTATGTAATTATTATATTAACTTATGTTTTTTTTACTAATTTACACATATAAAAAGTACTTCTGATAATAATTATCTAAATACTCTCACTTTATCATAATCATTTTTTTACAAAATATATTCTTTCCAAAATCTATTTTCCAGAAATTATTCTCCAAATCATGATTTGGTTTGATCCAAACACCTCCTAAATTGTTTTAAACGAATCCTCCTGAGTGGGCACAAATAATGACTGATAGGTGAACATTGCTTCGGGGTTTGAAGTGCTGGTCTAAAAAAAAAAAAAAAAGAGGTTTGAAGCGCTGGTCCCAAAAAGAAGGTTTGAAGCAATTTTTTAAAATGATTTTTTTGGGGGAAAAAAAAAGACCACTGAAATAGTAAAGTTGCACAGAAAGACCAGTTTATAAAAATTATTAAGACCTATACTATTGTTATCAAAACCGATATTAATGTTGTCATGAGTTCTTATTTACAATTTTTTTATTTCAGCCTCTCTTTTTTTTTGCTATTTTCCCTTCTTTTTTAGGATTTAAAGTTTTTTTTAAAACTGACTTTTCAACATGTCATTAAAAAAATTTGGATTAAGATGCTCATTTGCCTTGAAAATTGAATTTTTTTATATAAAATTAAAATTGTAGTAAATTTGCTTCTTATAGTTAAAAAAATTAACATTGATCATTAAAATAATGACTTCTTGATATTTTTAACGTTAGGAGAAAAAATTTGCGTGATTTTAAATTTTTAGGTTAAATTTACACTCAAAAAAATCTTCTTAGCAAAAACTTTCAGAACAAACTCATACCTGAACTCAACAAAATTTTGTCCAGCGAACTTTTCTGATTTATTCAAAAAATCATATTTCCTTGATTGACTTTGTCAGTCGGGATATAATTAGGATATAATCACTTTTGTAAATGTTAATCTAAACAAGCCCTTAAATTTTGGAAGGCTGCAAAACTCAAAAAGTCTCATAAGACATACTCCTCCTTTAAAAAAGGAAATAATACAAAAAGAACCTTAAATATGTAAGACAACAATTTTTTGGCTTGAGTAAAATAACAAATTGGTGTGCTGAATTTTCATAATATCTTTTAGATGCTCCACCACCTAAATGTGACATAGAAATTCACTAAAAAAACATAAATGCTTTTACCTTAAAATACAAATTTTCTTTCTATTTTTAAGATTCAATTTTCATTCAACTAACCATTAATTAATTATTAAATTATATACTTTGGATGAAAATACTATTCTTTCAATATAAAATTGTTTAATCGCTTATGTTAACTGAAAGAATTTAATGCGTATATTTTTAAATTTTTATATATTTTTTAAACTTTTTGTTTATATTGACTTATTTATTTAGTAAAATTCTTAAAATTTTAAATATATAAGTTGGTCAAAATAATTTTTGAAACATGCATGTAACGAAAAAAAGAGCTTAGTAAAATAATAGAGTATAGATTAGTCAATATAATTTATATTTATTTTTAAAATTTTCTTTAAATTAAGGAAAGAGAATGAAGCACTACTTCACAAGTATAAAGCATAGGTTTTAAATAACCAAGAAAGTCCATGCAATTTTAAGCAGAACAGAAGAGAAGCACTATATTTTGCTGAAATTATTAAGATTTTAACAATAATATAATAGATTATAAAAAGTCTAGTACATATTTAAATACCTAGGTGTCCCTCAAATGCATGCCAGCGTTTTGTTGGCAAAAAAGAAAAAAAAGGCATATAAACGTTTATGGTTTTGAAGTATATATTCTCTATTTTAAAATCTAAATCTTTTCATATTCCGATACACGGAATAGAAATATGTTTTACATGAGAGAAAATTTTATAGTTATAATGTTGATTTCTCCAATTTTCTGTAATCACTAAAAAACAAAACTCGTGAGAGGGTGTTTGAGTAATCCTAAAATTATTTTTTAGAAGTATTTTTTTGCAAATTAAAACAAACTTCTCCATATATTTATTTCGTATATCGCAAAAACACTTCTGAAACTATGGTTTTGATCTTACCCAAACACCCCCTGAATTCAACATTAAAACTTCAAGCCACAGGAAAACAATAAATATTATATATTGAACTTCTAAAAGAGGAATATAGAATGAGACAAAGAAATTCTTCTGAAAATAATTATGTTTATTTTTTGCCCACGAAAATAAATAATTAAAAATGACTAAACATAAACAAAAGCCTGGTCTAATAATAATAAGTTCTTTTTTGTCATAATATATTCTTTAACTTCTAGGAAAATTGTGTATGATATATTTATGAAAAAAAAGTACAATGTAGATAATAATTTTTTTAATCCTTGCAATTAAATCAAAATTTTCAAATAATTATAAATGCTTCCTACTCACATAATTGCTCATTTCTTTCTCCTAAGGTATAAACTATTCAAACATTTTTATTCAAAAAACTACTTAAATCAATCTATACTTTTATTTTATTTTTTGAAATGAGTAATACCTCCTTTAAATTTTATTATAACTAGTATAAAGGTCTTATATTTAGAACCAGAGGAGTATTTTATATTTATATTTTATAATTTATAATTATGATGATTGATTTTTTATAATTTATGAAGATTTTACATAAAATATATGGTGAATTACAGAAGATTCTAGAAATATTAGTGTCATATCTTGTTATTTAAAACTAGCAAACGAGGAACTTAGAATCGACTGCAAGCCAGGCAGTGTAGTAAAGGCAGAGATGAGATAACTTTTAAAGTGAAACCCAAACAGGAATTAGACTATTATTTTGAAAAGTTCTGGTCAAGAAATGATAGAATTGAAAACTGTACTTGAAATTTTTTAAAAAATTTAAAAATTTATGAAAAATGAAATAAAGGGTCTAGAATAGGATTTGAAGCCTAAAAGATGAAAACAAAATAAAAATAATTTATTTTAAATTTTTCTGTATTTACAATTATTTTTTACTAATTAAAAAAATTTAGTCAAAATAAATTATTTTAAATATACAAAAGCTTCAATAGTTCAAACCAAAAGCAATGGTTTTAAACTTAAGACTTAAACCAAAATGATCAGATACTATATTAACCGAAAAATTAATCTTTGTAATCATTCATTAAGAAAATAGAATTTTAATTATCTGAGATAATCATTAAATACAATAACAATAGTAAATTAAACTTACAAATAATATAAAATTTTATTACATTATTGATAAGTTTATGAATAATTTACATTTTTCTAAAAATTTTGCACGATATATAGACTCATACTTTATATTAAAAGTTGGGAAAAAATACTCTAAATTTTTTAGCCAAAATTTTTTTGCCTTAATTACACATGCATTAAATAGACTTTATTTACTTCTCTTTTTAGCCAAAATTATATTTACTAATCTACCTTTCCACCATAGTAAATCCCTAATTCTATCTAAAATTATTTTGAAGAATTTTTTTTTTCTTTTTTTTTGCATATAATTACTTGGTTACTTTTTCATCATAGTGGAATAAAAAGTCAAGCAGTTTCATTGACATAGATATAAAAAGTTTTTAAAATAAATGTTTTATTCCTTTTATCATGTTTTAAATATTTGGGTTAGATACATTAATTCATTAAAATTTATATTTTCCTTTCCATAAAATACAAGCTTATTGGAGAAGTAATTCGTTATATGCTTTTCAAAACTCATCAAAATTTAATTTTGAAAATTGCTCTAGCGTTGGAAACAAATTTGAATTTCGTGAGAGAAATCGGAATGTGTGGTGTGCGATGCTGGGAGTTTTATATACAAATTCGAATGTGATGGTCCTTCAAAACTGATTGCAACAATCAAATTGGAATTTGTATATACAAATTCTAATGTGATGGTATTTCAAGAGTGATTTCGCTAATAAAATTGAAATTTGTATATACAAGTTCTAATTTGATCAGATTTGGAATTAACTAGTGTGTATAAATTGGAATTTGGTGTTATCCATCCTATCTTTCACTCGTTCAAAACTAGTTCAACACTCTCCTAGGAGATGCCTGTTAAAGCTGCGAAGGTAATGACAATGGTTGATATTGGCGAATACCCGTCGTTGCTTAGTTATCCCTTCGTGATTTGGTTAGCATCCGTCTGTTCTTTTGTTGTCGCAGAAACATGGGATGTGTCAAAGAAAAAGGGTGACCGCTGCATAAGTCATTTTGAAAACATGTTTATTAAAGGGGTGTTTGCCTAACTCCAAAAATTTTCTGTTAATAAAGGCAAACTCCTCTACTATTTACTTCGTATACTATAAAAGTACTTTTAAAACCATAGTTTTGTATCTACCCAAACACCTCCTAAATAATACTACCCGATTCAAAATATAAACTAAACTTTCTTAAAAAAATTAGTTTTTTTTATAAGATAACATTCACTTTTGTCCAAGCATTTAATGAGTTTTTTTTCAATTTTACCCACATATATTCTCTTTCCTCTTTAATTCATTTATTGTATTTTTTATTTATTCTCTTCATTAATAAAGATATATTAGGAAAAACAAATATATATCTTACACATTTATTGTTTTAAATTGGTTTTAGGGAAAATTCCAAAAAAGGCCATTGAAATATAGAAAATTCTAGATTGGGTTTTGGAATTTCAAAAATAACAGAAAAAGTTAGTGACCCAATTTGTTATTTGTGAAATTAAGACGAATTGACGATTTTGTCCCTGGCTAAGCAAAAGTGAATAGTTATTCTCTAAACAAATTTAGGTAACGCTTACACTGTTCTAGTGATTACAAGATTAATTGTAGTTAATAATAAGGTACCTGATTATGAAAAAGTGAGTAGTTATTCTCTACATGAATCTAAGTAATACTTACATTGTTTTAATGATTACAAAATTAGTTGTAGTTAATAACAAAATACCTAACTATGAAAAAATGAATAGTTATTCGCTACACGAATCTAGGTAATGCCTAAACCCTTATAGTGATTCCTTAAATCATTGTAGTGAATGAATATAAATGAGGGTAAAGCTGTCAATTTCTCTTCATTTTACAAATGACACATTGGGTCACTGACCTTTTCTATCATTTTCGAAATTCCATGATCCAATCTAGGATTTCCTATATTCTAAGAACTTTTTTTGGAATTTTCCCTTGATTTTAATTGGTTTTTTAATAAATATAAATAGATAAAATTTAGATTATATTTTCAACAAAAGGGAGTATTATTTTATTTTATTAAAGGTAATATAGTAAATTAAGTATTTTTCTACCTCCATGAAATTTTTGAGCGATATTAACCATTGATAGAGCTCAATAACTGTGTAATTTATATGCCCTACTTCAAAATTTAAGAATTAATTGCAATAGGATGGCTGCATTAGAATTTAGATTAAAAAAAAAACACACAAGAAACTTGGTGACATTTTGGAACGAAAAAAATATGTGCATAGTGCATGCTAAACACGCACCAAGACCAAAAAAAGTGATTAAAAATGTGTTTGAATAGAACTAAAATAATAATTTTAAAAATATTTTTACGTATGCGAAATAAATATAAAAAAAATTATCTCAATTTATTAAGAAATATTTTTAAAAAATATTTTTTTATTGTCAAACACCCGTGAAAGAAATATGCGGAGGGAGAATAATGCAACAAGCTTAGCTAACAACGAGAGGGGGAAGGCGCGTGGGAAAGGAGGAAAGGGGGGAAAGAAAGTAGAGGAGTAGGAATGGGGCCCACAGCCCATGTGCCCAAACCCTGTCTCCACCAGCTCCTGCCGCTCAATGATTAGAGCTCTGTTCCCTCTTCTCCTTCTCATCTCTCTCTTCCCCTCACAAACCCTTCTTTCTTCGTTCTCTTCTCAAAATCCTCTTTGACACTGAATTGAATAAATCAATAAAACCCTCTTCCTCTCTTGCTTCTCTCTCATCTCTCAGCTCCCACCCCCATTCTCTCTCTCTCTCTCTCCTTGGGGTTTGAGTTGTGTTGTTGGGAGTCAAGTGGGAAAGAAAGACCCATGTCTAACTCTGACGGAGCTACCACCAACGGTAACGGCGCAATCATTGACCCGCAGAGGCAGCAACAGCAGCAGTCGTCCTCCGGAAACGGCGCTCTCGCCGTTAAGAAGCCGCCGTCTAAGGACCGTCACAGCAAGGTCGACGGCCGAGGTCGCCGTATTCGCATGCCGATCATATGCGCCGCACGTGTCTTCCAGCTCACGCGTGAGTTGGGTCACAAATCCGACGGTCAAACCATCGAGTGGCTCCTACGCCAGGCCGAACCCTCCATCATAGCCGCCACCGGCACCGGCACCACTCCTGCGAGCTTCTCCACCGTTTCGGTCTCTGTACGCGGAGGCGGCGGCGGAGGAGGTTCGAACTCCCTATCGTCGTCTTCTACCACTTCTACTTCTCTTGACCATAAGCCTGCCCTTCTGGGTCCGACACCCTTCATACTCGGAAAGCGCATACGGACCACCGATGATGACGCTGCTAAGGATGATGGCGTCACCGTGGGACCCACTGTTGGGTCAATAGTAGGGCCGACGACACCAGCTGGGTTATGGGCACTTCCGGCCAGGCCTGACTTCGGCCAGGTATGGAGTTTTGCTGCAGCTGCGGCCGCTCCTCCGCCAGAGATGGTGGTTCAGCCCGCGGGTGTGTCGGTGTCGCAGCAGCAGCATGCTTCGTTATTCGTTCATCATCATCAGCAGCAACAAGCCATGGGCGAGGCGTCGGCGGCTCGACTGGGTAATTACCTTCCAGGACATCTGAATTTGCTGGCTTCTTTGTCGGGTGGGCCCGGAAGTTCAGGTCGGAGAGATGATGAGCCTCGATAATTTTGGAGTTGGCGGCGGCGGAGGGTGGTGGTGTTGTTGGTATATATATTTGTTGTGTATGGCTGTATGGCTTTGTTGTGTGTGGAAAGCAGAAGATTTTCTTAGTAGTATTTATTTAGGATTAGAGTTCGTTTTGGGTTCTTAGTTGAGTGGAGAAGTCCATGAATTATGGAATTCAAATTAGGATTTTTAGGAGTTCGAAATTGTTTAGATTCTGGGGGGGTTGGCGAAGCTGAAGGAGAGAGATAAAGGCTCACATTTATAAATAACTCAAGATCGAGGCTGGAAGCGGATTTCAGAACCTCGATCCGTATGCAAGCAAGTCCAGTAGAGTTAATAATGTTACTTATTGTGTTAAGAGCATGTTTCAAGTCCAAGTCAAAGCTTGGGATGATGGGATTGCATCTGTTTTCCAATGGGTTTTTGACTGACAAGTTTGTTCATTGTTGAGGTAGAAGTGATTAATTAATAGTGCTTAGTGTTTGTGCCTACAAGTTAAAAGACTCAGGTCAGTTCTTGTCTTCCCAATTTGTTGGAGGTCCCAAGGTTCCAATGTAGAATGAGAAAGTCACAGTGATTTGGCAGTATCGCTGAATTATGGCCTCTCTCTTCCACTCTCACGCTCTTTGTTGGTCTTATCATTTGTTTTCAGAGGTGACTGGTGTGTAAAATGAGCAAAGCGCTGGTTCGTTCTACTCTGCAAGACCTCTCTGTTTTGAGATTTTTATCTGCAATTCTTATTTAGCCATTTGTTAGATTCATGCATCAGCGTGAGAATAATGTGTTATATTGTATGTAAGTGGATTGTTTTGGGGTGCCAGTGATGTGAATAAAAACCCACCTTTTTCCCCTACTTTCCCATCTCTGCATCAATGCATGTGTGTATGCGCATATGAACTTGTATATTCTGCTACCTGACGGTTCGGTTTCTAATACTGCATGCTTTATTCGAACTTCTGTGAGCCTGAATGATCATTTTTAAAACCGTCATCATTTGTTTGATTTTGTGAGAGGTCTTTGCTGCTAAGTTTTGTGATTACGAATGATCTTCTCCTACAATTTCTTATAACCTGTACTTTGGCTTTCTAGTATTGGTAAAACTTATGTAATTATGCTCAAGATGTTACAAATGCAGAAGGGATAAAGAAAACCATACATGGTGTTTGTCAATTTACTTTGATAGACAACCTGGTCTTCGTGGCTTGAGCTTACTGCTCCTTGCTGCTCTTCTTATACTGTGGCAGGAAAATGATCGTCACTATTTTGAGTAAATTTGATGATTTATGTTGACTCAAAATAAGTCACTTTTCATTGAAAAATAGAAAATCTGAATCCCGAGTTGCCACGCATCTGAAACTACCATTTACCTCTGCCTCTTTATTTAATCTCCAGAAAAACTGCATAAAATCACAAACAATGCAAAATAGTGGTGTAAGGTACATTCATCTCCTAGTATCTTTACTCCTCCATTTTTATAAGAACCAATCCTAAATATAAGAAACAAATCCTCTTGGTAGACAATTTTAAATGTCTTTTTCATTTTTATCCAATTAAATATATACCACTCATTCTCTTTTTGTAATAAACTTTTATTCATTATCTCTTATGTATTTTCTTTACGAACAAAGGTATGATTAAAAAATATGTATATTTTTTACTTATTTATTATTTTTAATTGAATTTAATTAATATTTTGACCTATGTTGTTTTGGCAGTTGTTTTCTATAATAAGGGCCGAGTATTTACTTCTTGGAAGGTTCGAGCCAAATTACTTGGTACTGTGCTTGCCTTTGGGCAGTTGAGTGCCTGAAAGATTAGGCCCTTGGGATGACGTATACTGAGTGAAAGCTTTTAAACAATAAGTTGTTTACTAAAATTGAGGGATCAAATAGTTCAGACATGACAACTACGCCTGCCCCTTTTTTTTCGGATTTTTAGTATCCCCTGCTTGTTTTCCTATTTGTTCTTATTTCTATGTTGTTTTTTATTTTATGCTTTTTGTTTAGTTTTCAACCTATACTCTTCAGCATTTGATGTACATGAAATGAGCTTTAATGTGTGAAATCATCTTACTTTTTAATGAAGTTTGATCTTTTTATTGAAAAAAAAAAAAGTTTAGATATGCATCTTTGAAAAAGTAGAAAAGTATACCTTTGTAATGGCATTTTGTTTCGTTGATTTTTGTTAAGATTTTATTTCAGCCATCCTCACAACACAAGTTTCTTTCCTGGAATGCCTATAAAAAGGAAATTTCAATATGCCTGTATGCGTGTGGATATTTTGTTGGTGATAGCTAATTAGTGTTTTCTCATTTGATGTGTGAACTCCTCCTATTTTTAATATAAGATATATTTAATCAATTTGATTAGATTAAAAAAATTAGATGAGTTAGTTAATTATAAAAAATATGATATATTTTTCCTAAAATGTCACAATGATCTTCCTTAATATCCTTTCCCCTTTTCCTATTTGATTATGATTGAAGGAGTATCATTATGGGTAATTTATGAAAAATTGATAAATATAAAAATAGATATTATATTTAGGGTCAAAATAAACTCAATAATTAGCTCCTCTATTAAGGACCGGAGGAGTAATACTCTAAATATGTTTGATTAGTGACAATAATGGTGGCAAAGCATAGATAATACTCCCTCCGGTCCTAAATATAAGACACATTTTTTAGTTCAAATTGCACTAAAAAATGAGTCTTTTATTTAGGACCAAATGAGTAATATTTAATTAGCTAAAATTGTTATTTATATATCTAAAGTGCGATGATCAAATTAAAAATAATTAATATTAAAAGGATCGAAGGTATAGTACTGTTTCCTAATTTATAACGAAAAAAATATTTTTTATCTTCAATATTATTTTCGATAGATTTCGAGATTTTATTAATTATCCCTCATCCTTAAGGACCCAAATTTAGGGATTCAAAGTTCAAACGGAGGAATGCGGGCATTTTCTAGTTATAATTATTGACAAACAGAAGGGTGAGGTCCCAATAATTGATGGGTCCCAGAAATTAAGTGTCGTGGGGAAACAGGTTAAAACAGAGTCTCATGATTTGGGACCACAATTTTAAACCCTCATATGACGATCTGACATGGATAGTCACACCTGGGCCACGTAAATGGGCCACGTAATTCCTATAAAACAGATCATGGATCGCAACTAATTTCCATATGCTTGAGGCCTTTCATTGGTCTTTTACGGTTGACGTAGGAGAAAATGACCATAGAGCATAAAACTAAAGATTTAAAATTTTGGGAAAATCACAAATAAAGACCTTGGAATATACAAAATGACGATTTGGGTCCTTGAATTTATATAATTCTTGTCAGAGACCCGGTCCCAAATAAAAATTATGAAATGTTAGTTAAAAGACAAAAATACCCTTCTGCTTTTGTCTGATTCTATTCTGTGCCCACATGCCTCAACTTTATCTTTCTTCACTATCCTAGTTGTCTCCCTCTTCCTTTCTTACGATGACAGCGAGGGATTTGGAAGAATGAGGATGTAGATGTTGGTTTTTCTACTGACAAAGGGCCTAGAAAGCTTGGGAGTGAGATGATAGAGTGAGGCAAAATCAGCCCCATCCATGTCCCAAAGCTTTAGAATCTAAAAGAATGGAAGTGAAGAGTTCGATGAAATATGCGTGGGGAGATGATTGATTGGGTGGGGGCTGTGTCTTGGTAAAACGTGGGGGGCTAATAGATTGCTGCTACCAGTACTGTTAAACGTAACTGTGATCATTGGGTGTCTTCTTTGTAGTGGTGAGAGTATATCCCATTATTCTTAATTCATTTTCTTTCCCTTTCTCAGACCCAAATATTATTGAAAAGAAAGTATCTTCATACTTTATTTGAATTTTTTTGCAACGAGATGTTTTGATTGAAGTAAAAAGAGCTTGGAGCTTTTGTTCATAGACAAATATTGAATCTTGCAAAAACTGGTTGTTATCAAAACACCTTTAGTTTTTTGTTATTTGACTTACCATTGTTGTAATTTTACTTAGTAGTGTTGTAACTACAGCTTGGTTAGTTTGATCACAACAACATGGCATGACAATCTGAAAATGTTGGTATTTTGTTTATGGGCAGAGCAATGTTAACATTTAGTATTTATAGTTGTAAATGGTACCAATGTAAATCCATTTAATGTTCTGAAATTCATGACAAACCCCCTCACAGACTTATAATTTCACTTACACAGTTGTTATTTGGCTTTCCACTCTTGTCAATTGATTTTTATAACTTGTTATTCGCTTTACTCAGCTTGTCATAAATTACTTATCAAAACTTGTCATCTGCTAAAGAAATTTGAAAATTCTGTCATTTGAAAAGAGAAAATTAAATTTTTATGAATTACTTATTAGAAGTTATCATTCGCCTTACTAAATTTGTCATTCGTCTTACTAAACTTGTCATTTGCCAAGAATGTTTAGCAAGGTGTATGATAATTTCTAATAAGCAACTCATTGGAATTTAAGATTCTGCGTTAAAATGACAATTTGCACAATTCCTTGGTGAATGACACTTTTAGTTTTATTTAGTAGATAACAAGTTTTGATAAGCAATTTATGACAAGTTTAGTTAGGCAAATAACAATTTTAGTAAGGCAAATGACAACTTCTGATAAGCATTTCATACAAATTTAATTTTTTCTGTTCAAATGATAGAATTTCCAGATTTCTTTAATAGATGACAAGTTCAGTAAAGCAAATGATAGAATTTTTGTGTTTCTGTCGCTGCATTTCTGTCACCATGTTTCTAATTAAATGGACAACATTAAATAGCTCTACATTATTACAATATAGAACTGATTAACAAAAAATGTTAAAATTCCTCTGCATAATATAAAAAAACCATCATTATCATATTGTCATGTGTTTCTATCACTGCATTGTTGTCATAATAGTTAAAAGTCTGCATTAACAACACTAGCAAGCAAAATTACAACAGTGGTGATCATTACACTCCCTCCAATATATTTAATTCCCCCTTCATCACTTGCTTCAAAATGTCCACCAATGTGGACGTAACGTAACAAATTCTGTGTTTCTATCACTACATTTCTATCATCACAAGATAATTGTTTTTTTACTTAGAAAATCACAACTTAAGTATAATATATGACAAGTTAAGTATATCAAATTATAACTTCGTTTATTTCCAGATTTCCTTGGCGAATGACAAGTTGAGTAAAACGAATGACAAGTTTAGTAAGGCAAATGACAATTTCTAATAAGTAATTCATAAAAATTTAATTTTCTCTTTTCAAATGACAGAATTTTCATATTTCTTTAGTAAATAACAAGTTTTGATAAGTAATTTATGACAAATTGAGTAAGGCGAAGGACAAGATTGACAAGAGTGGAAAGCCAAATAATAGCTATGGTAAGTGAAATTATATGTCTATGAGGGGGTTTGTCATGAATTTCAGAACACTGAATGGATCTACACTGATATCATTTACAACTATAAATACTAAATGTTAACATTGCTATGCCATAAACAAAATACCAATATTTTCATATTGTCATGCCATGCTGCTGTGACCAAACTAACCAATTTGTAGTTACAACACTACAAAGTAAAATTACAATAATAGTAAGTCAAATAACAAAAAACCAGAGGTGTTTTAACAGCAATCAATTTCTGTAAGATTCAGTGACAAGTGTATCTCAAACTAACTACAACATCCTCCAGCTAACATTTTCCATCATTAACTTCACGTTTCATTCTCTTCCACCGTATAACCCAGTGACCACACTGCAACCCACCAAGATGATGCCATGCCAATCATGAAGTATATATACATGTAGTGTCTTGGGTAGCTTGAATCTCA